TATTGTATGTCTCAGAACGCCTCCAACAATCACAAACAAAAGGAAATAGAAACTTACGATGCATATGGACATTCATTCACAACTTTGGGGTAGAATATTTTGCAAGGTATTGTGTTTCAGGATCATTTGATTGCACGGTTCGAACCAGCGCGCGATGCAGATTCGATTCACGTATTCCAAGTCTATCGTAGCATATTTTTTCACATGAAGGAGTAAAAGTCCCCTCGATGACGCCCGCCACTGTGAGTTAATTAATCCTCATTTGTCCAACACTTTCCATTCTGCACAGTGTACTGCAGTAAGATTGCACTCTTGGCAAAGCGCAGAGGAGCGAAAGAGTATCGATAGAAGATGTTATTTTCCAAGGTGTGACGGTAGCTCAACGGTAGAGCGTCAGGTTAAAACCCTGAAGGTTGTCGGTTCGATCCCGGCGTCGTCACTTTGTGGAATAGAGCTAGTAAGCTTTTACCCAACCCGAGAGGGGGGAAACATCGAGACGCATATAATGTAGTCGCGAGTCCATTCTGGTTAATAGTATCCTGGTTTGACGCCATATGGGGTGCAAAATCGCTATAAATTAGTGTGGTGAACTGTGAGATTCACAAAATCGAAGCATTCACGCACTCGGTCCCATAGAGTCAAACCGTGACACAACACAAACATTTTATATTTGTGTACAATTATGCATTTTTAGTCATTGACACCAGAAACAGTATACCAAAAAAATCAATTATTTACAAAACTTGAAGAAAAAGAGCTACAGTCCGAAAATTCGACTAATAATCCTGTGAATATTCAGTTTGGCCTTGGCTCCCGCCTCGAATTCCTGCACGGTCCAACTCGATACGACTCATCCGCCGTTCCGAGTACAGTCGACCGCGCCGATTCGCTTGGTCCAAACGCTCCGACGCCATTGAGTGGTAACGAGCCATGACAAGACGGTAGTGATCGCGTTCGCCTCCACGTAGAGGATGAATCGAGACATGGAAATTGGTCAGAGCAAAGTCAAGACGTTGGATCATGTGGTACTTTCACTCCACTTGTAGGTCGCATACGATATCTTCCAAAGCAAGCAGGTTCGCCCAAATATGTTCTCGACGAGTACACGGTCGCTTGACACTCTTGCATTTCTGTCCAGATCGACGTGGTCCAAGTGGCCACCACGTGGCTTCTTCTTCGGACGGATGCTTCGGATTGCTTCGTCGATGCCTTCGTAGCCTTTGTCCTGGAGCACGGCCCAGGTTGTTGCATGTAGGCGGCGCCCCTCACCAGCGTCAACAAGA